CAGAAATATTTTAAGATAAATGTTTTAATTAAAAATTGTAAAAATGGTCATCATTAAAATAAACTACAGTTTGTCAGCAAATAGTGCATGCGGGAAAGTGAATCAAACTCGTTAAACAATACTGGGTGGCATCGCATATCTCCAATATCAACACAATTACAGATTCCTGTTGTTGCATATTTCTGCTGTGTGATTGGCTCTTAGATCAATATCGAGTAAAAATGTTCATAGCTTATTATCGTTATTGACATAAATTTTATCGCGATTTGATATGATATTGTTTATCGGCCCATGCAGCCCTACTTTCACTTTTCACTTAAAAGTTTCTTTACCAGCATTTTGCAGATTATACAGAAACGTTTTAAAGTCTTGCCAATAAAGTGAATGTTACATACTGGATTAAAATACTGCTGCTTTAAATGGTTTCAGTGGGCCTTTATTTGTCCTCAAGATCCTAAGTGTGCAACTGTTTTTTTGTGCCAAAATATGAGTTCAGATGCACAAACCTCTAAGTGGCGTTCGAATATTTCATCTAAAATTAGCATTTTTTATAGCCTCCTTTATGTTCATATCTAGTTATTTCACTTTAAAGTCAATTTATATTCTTTAATGTCTGGGGTTTATTTCTTGTACATCTAGATGAACAAACCAGCCACTCAACGTCTATAGATTTCTCAAAATTAAATTAAATTAAATTAAATTAAATTAAATTAAATTAAATTAAATTAAATTAAATTAAATTAAATTAAATTAAATTAAATTAAATTAAATTGAATTAAATAATTTTATTTTATTAATTTTAATTTAATAAAATTTAATAAAATTTTATTTTGTTTAAATTTATTTTAAGAACCTGTTCTTTGCATAGACGTAAAATTACTTAATTTTAGAAGAAATTTTCAGATAATGTTTAGAGGTTTTTGCATTTAAACTCTTTATATATTTATGAAAATGGTTGAATTTTGTTCAGGTTTTTCAGTATTCAAGATATTTGCATTAACATGGCCAAAAATATCTCAAACTTTTTTACCTTTTAAAAAAGACAAATATATCTAAAAGGATGCACAAGGCACAATGTGGTTAAAACTGCTTGATTTTAGTAATTTGGTAATGTAATGTAAAAATGTTGATGAATTACAGAAACAGAAGTTCCCATAAGAGTTTCTCCGACTATATAGCATTGCAATAGGTACAGTAAATTCAGACACATGGATTATTTTGTGTCCTTCCTAAATGAATAAATATTTTAAACAAATGTGTGGCATATATATGTATAATAAAATAATCAAATGAAGTCTCTGAAGAATCCATTCTACTTATTTAGTAGAATAAGTCCTCAGTCTTTCTGTATATATTTAATATTTGAATATTTTTCCATATTTTTATTGAGATGTAACAATAATGGGACAATATAATACATATTTACATCTTAATTTGAAAATAAGAAAACAATAACAAAACATTGTTACAAATAACAATAACAAATAAACAAATCAGGCTGAGAATAAATAAATAAATAAATAAATAAATAAATAAATAAATAAATAAATAAATAAATAAATAAATAAATAAATAAATAAATAAATAAATAAATAAATAAATAAATAAATAAATAAATAAATAAATAAATAAATAAATAAATAAATAAATAAATAAATAAATAAATAAATAAATAAATAAATAAATAAATAAATAAATAAATAAATAAATAAATAAATAAATAAATAAATAAATAAATAAATAAATAAATAAATAAATAAATAAATAAATAAATAAATAAATAAATAAATAAATAAATAAATAAATAAATAAATAAATAAATAAATAAATAAATAAATAAATAAATAAATAAATAAATAAATAAATAAATGCTGTCACTTGTCGCCATCTACAGACTAAATAATATAACCAGTGGGGTAAGTAGCTAAAAACCTTCACCACTAATGATCTAATTCAGGGGTTTCCAAACTTTACAACCTGCAACCCCCAAAATAACAATGCCAGTGACTCACGACCCACAATATCTTCTCAGGTGGTCATAAATATATAAAACTTGCACACAACGGTGCACACATACCAATAGGCCCAAGTCTACTCATGCCTAATTTTGGAGAACGCTACTCAGAGACCATCCCCCATGTTTAGTTGAGCCTGAATTTATTTTTGATATACATAAGTGCCGTAAAGGTGTCAGAAAGTTTAACATGGTGCCATAAAATAATCTGCTGCATCTGATGCTATTGCTGTGTCTTTAATATGTGATCACCCCAGTTGCCAAAAAATTGAAAGGCTGATGGCTTTTTATTTGCACCTTTTAATGTAACTATTACTTTTTTCTTCTTTAAGTTTAATAAAATGAATTTGATTTTTGGAAATCACCAAGCGACCCCCCTCGTTGTCCCCCACTTTGGGAACCACTGATCTAATTAGTAATAAACGATTTAGTAATAAACATTTATTATGACTTTTAGTTTCATCTGACATTCAGAATAAAATGTCATTGAAAAAGTTTTTAGAATAAATGTATGCGAGTTGGCACCGAACTGAATGTGACCTTCACATTTGGCAAACACATAAAAGCATATTAACAAAATTAAATGTGCACTGTCTTATAACAAATGGGATTTCTCATGATTCAGATCTTAGGAGACAAAGACAGAGCAAGAGGAATTGTAAATCAAGGAGAGTTAATTAAACACTGTTGACATCTCTGAATGGTCTTGTCCACGGATGTTTTATGAGCTCTCCTTTTTCCATATTTACCCTGAGGACAGCTCACAGCAAACATCACCATCAGGAACTGTACAGTACGATCTTTGTCTATGTGTGAAAGTGCTTTTACCTGCCCATTTTCCAATGAGTCTGTGTTAATAAACTGACAGTCTTCAGTTTAGCTGGATTGCACTGCCTGAGCCACACAACACAGCTCCACACATACAGTTTACCAAAACATTAAAGGGATAGTTCACCCAAAACTAAAAATTCTGTCATTATTTACTCACCATACAAACCTCAGTTTCTTTCTTCTTTTGAACACAATAGAAGATATTTTGAAGAAAGCTGGAAACCCGTAGCCATTGGCTTACATAATATATTTTTTTCCAACCATAGAAGTCAATACTTACCGGTTTTCTTCATAATATTACAGAATAAAGAAACATATAAAGAGTTTGAATCATTTGAGGGTGAGTAAATAGGAACTAAATGGTTATTTTTGGGTGATTTATCTCTTTAACTAAAAAGCACTGCATTGATTGAGAACAAACAAATGCAAACACAACAGTTATATATATATATATATATATATATATATATATATATATATATATATATATATATATATATATATATATATATATATATATATATATATATATGTGTGTGTGTGTGTGTGTGTGTGTGTATTTCTATTTCTATTTCTATTTGTTGAATATTTGATTTTTTCCCCAATATTTTTATTGAGATGTAACAATAATGTGACAATATAATACATAATTACTTCTTTGTTTTTAATAACAAACAATAACAAAACAATTTTGTGTGTGGGGGTCGTGGGGTAATATTTTATTATTTTATAATTTTATTATTATAATAATAAAATATTTGTATCATTCTAGATAAAACATTAGTAAGAAATTGTTTGAAAATATAAATCATCCATTGAAATGCATGCACCAGATCATCAGTATGACTATGCTTTGTTTAAATCAATCTTGAAAATGGGGGAATATCTAAAAAGGCCAAGTCAGTGTCAGTTTATTTAATCTTTTCCTGCTTCATTTAATAAATTGCTGAAATCAAAATTTGAAATAAGAAATATAAATGTGGCACAGTTATTGGCATCCTTTTCAATTTATATGAGAAAGTATTTTTGAAGTATGCTGTATGTCTATTGGTATCTTAACCTTTGCCTCCTGTTTCATTAGGATATACATATGAGGAAATACAAAGGCCAATTTTTTGATCATTAATCTTAATAGATAGACTAAAGAACAGAACTGTCAGTTGTGGTAAAAGTTTGTTTAAGCTTCACAAAATGGAAAAGTGGCTATAAGAAAATAGAAAAAACCCAGCAATTGCTGATTTCCACCATCAGGACACTGTTAGTGGTAGACGTCACCTACAGTGCTCAGCATAGATAAGCATACCCCTCACAAATTTATATTTCTTTAATAGGAAGCTCTACAACATTATATTTGTGCATATACATTAGATTAGTCCGTACTGAAGCCAAATCTGGAGCTTATCTAACAAAATAACTTAGGATAAAAGTCCAAAAATCTAGTACACCTAAATTTATATGTTAAAGTCAAATATTAAATACAATTTTAAAAAAAGGAAAAAATAATTTGAAAAAAAAATATTAAGAATGAATAAAAAAGATTTTTTTTCTCAATATTTTTTTCTTCTTAAATTAGTCAAGAATTTTTTTTGAAAAGATTATTATTTTTTGCAATATTTAGTTTAGTTTTAATTGTATTTTCTTTCAATTTATAGATATGTTTGGTGACTAAAAAATTATTTTAATAAATATATCTGTTCAATAAATCAGTTTTGTTTGAATGCACTAAAATACATATTCACAGAGAAATGGATACAAATATTCATTTTCAAAATGGGATGTACTCAATTATGGTGAGCACTGTACAGTTCACCACTACAATAGTTTTATAACAAGTTTTAAGAAAAAAAAAGCCTCCATTTTCATCTTTATTTGTTAATATATCAAGGCAAATATCAAAAGGTTAAACAATAAAGACCTTTTTCCCTCAGCCTTCTTTGCTAATATTTACCAATATGATTGAAGGGCACTGTCTCCTCTCAGCATGTGCTGTAGCTTCCTCAATAACATTGCATTCTGCTGGTTTATATGCTGTGAAATACATGTGTGTGTTTTACAGCTCTATGATGTATGTTTTAGACAGTTTGACAGATTTCTGACAGCACAGGCCCCTGAGCATGGTTTATATATGTCTGTGTTTGTGGTGTGTTTTTGATAGGGTGAGTTCAGAGCGAAGGAAGGAGAAATCCAGAGACGCAGCACGTTGTCGGAGAGGAAAAGAGTCTGAGGTGTTTTATGAGCTGTCCAGAGAACTCCCTCTCCCCCACAGCGTCACCTCTAACCTGGATAAAGCATCGGTCATGAGACTGGCTCTCAGTTACCTGCGCCTGCGTAAACTGCTGAACAGCGGTGAGAGAGGATGAATGTGCGGTGAGATCATGAACTCTCATGTGTTTGATGCTGACAGCCTGTGTTCATCTCTGTCTGTCTCTCTAGATGTGCTGGAGAAGGAGACTGCATTAGACACTCAGTGGAACGGTTCATTTCTGAAAGCTCTGGACGGGTTTCTTTTGGTTCTTTCAGCTGATGGTGATATTGTCTACCTTTCAGAGAATGTCAGCAAGTGCTTGGGCCTTCCTCAGGTGATTTTAAGCACACTTCCGATTCAGAATGTGTAGGTTCATGTGAATGTGGGTCTTTTATTTCTTTCTTCTGTCAAAATCAAAGGTAAATAATTTGAATAAAGATGAAAACCTGTAAGCATTGACTTTCATTGTAAGAAAAAGATACTATGGAAGTCAATGGTTATCTATATTCACCCAAAAATGAAGAATTACTCGCTTTTTATTAATCCTCAAGTGGTTATAAATCTTAAAAGGTTTCTTTCTTCTGTTGAAATCAAAGGAAGATATTTTAAAGAAAGCTGAAAACCTGTAACCATTGACTTCTATTGTAGGAAAAAGAAAGGCTATAGAAGTCAATGGTTACCGACTTTTACCCAAAAGTTAAGATTTACTCATTTTTTACTCATTTTCAAGCGGTTATAAACATTTAAGAGTTTCTTTCTTCTGTTGAAATCAAAGGAAGATTTTTTAATTTACGATGAAAACCTGTAACCATTGACTTTCATTGTAGGAAAAAGAGATACATTGGAAGTCAATGGTTATCGATTTTCACCCAAAAATGAAGATTTACTCACATTTTACTCATCCTCACGTGGTTATAAAGCTTTTAAGAGTTTCTTTCTTGAGTCCAAATCAAAGGTACAGTAGGTGAGAGTTCAAAGTGGCTATTAACGCCGCAGCATGTACCGCCGCCGTAGATATTTTGAAGAAAGCAGAAAACCTGTAACTATTTACTTCCATTGTACGAAAAATACATATTATGGAAGTCAATGGTTACTGATAGTTGCAATGGTTACTAGCTTTCTTTATATTTCATACTTTGTGTTCGAAAGAAACAAAGAAAGATTTGGAACAAGTGATGGGTGAGTAAAACATGGCAGAAGTTGGATTTGTGAACTAACCATTTAATGCTACAAATCATAAACATTATGAAAAACTTCATTTTTTACAAATAAAAAAAATTGAAGTTCTTTATGTTTTTTATATTATACTATTTACATTTGTTATAATTGTGTTAATTATGAATTGATTATGAGGAAATGAAAAAAATATAAAAAATGCTTTAAATGGGCATATTTTTATTTTAAAATTAAGAATAATTATTTCCCAGAGATGGGTTGTGGCTGGAAGGGCATCCGCTGCGTATTAATAAAGGAACCACGGATTAATAAAGGGACTAAGCTGAAAAGAAAATGAATGAATGAATGAATGAATGAATGAATGAATGAATGAATGAATGAATGAATGAATGAATGAATGAACGAATGAATGAATGAATGAATGAATAATTATTTATTTTTAAATAGCTTTATGTGTAACTGCTTGAACAGTTTGATCAGTAAAAAAAACAATACAGTTTTTTACAATTTCAGCCTCAGGATCATATTATGGGATAATTAAAAACACGTAAAATGAAGTCATTTTAATTCTTAAATTCTATAACCCATATATTATTGTCTGATACAAAATTAAACCACTAATGTAGTTATGTATATGTCTCTGGCTTTGAAATCACATAAATTATGTCTATTAAACTTTTCCATTTTCTCGTAGATTGAACTCACTGGTCACAGTGTGTTTGAGTTTACTCATCCGTGTGACCATGAGGAGCTCAGAGAAATGCTGGCACACAGATTTGGTAATATTTCTTCTTTCTTTTCTCTTTTCTTTTCTTTTTTATCTTCCCAGCACAATAATGATCACTTACAAATACCTCTCTCCCCTCCCCCATAATAGGTCTGTCTAAGAAATCGAAAGATCAAAACACAAACAGAAGTTTCCTGCTGAGGATGAAATGCACGCTGACCAGCAGAGGGCGCACTGTCAATGTTAAATCTGCCTCCTGGAAGGTACCACCCTTTCCTTACTTATGCTTCACGTTTAACCCTATGACAGCATCTGTCCACTGGTTTTGGACAAGATTATTCCATTTCAAATTATGGGTTGCACTTGCGGTTTGGGCAAACAAGTCTTTTTAAATACAATTGTTGATCCAATTGTTTGAGACAATAGAAAAAATAATATTATGCTTTATATTTTTATGTGTTATTATTATTATTATCAACTATTAAGCATTTCTGTGGTATCTCTTGATTGTTTTCCCTTTGTGTACCATTCAGTAATAATCTACACATCTGTAATATTACTGTAATATTTATTCCATGCGCTGCTGAAAGTAATTTGTTAATTCTACTACATTGCCTTTTGACATTATGCCGGAATAATGGCATGTCTTGTTAACAGTTTAATGGAAGTTACTCCCCTGATTCACCAAAGCATCGGGGGGTGTTGTAAATAGGTAAATGCAGTTGTCCATGGATCCATATTTATCCCTATCAGCCTCTCTCTGTGACAGGTGCTGCGCTGTTCGGGCCGTATCCACACAGCAGATGGTGTTGAGAAGGAGGTGTGTGAAGAAAAAAACACGTGTTCGACGTACCTGGTGCTCATCTGCGAGTCTATTCCCCATCCGGCGAACATTGAGGCTCCTCTGGATTCCAGAACGTTCCTCAGCCGCCACACTTTAGACATGCGCTTCACCTACTGTGATGAGAGGTAAAAGAACACCTGCACCGCTCAGCATAATATTCAGTGCTTCTGTGCTGACTGCAGCAGCATCTGACTTTTACATCTGTGTTTTTATTTTTTTATTCTTGGAGTCACAGATATGGTCCTTTTGCTTCCCATTTTCCTAAACTCTAGAGAGAGCTTCACATGTTTATATTTAAGGATAAGAATATCAAGCGTGAAATTAAATTGATTATTTTAATATACTACCATTCAAACAATTGGGGTTACAAAAATGTATTGATGCTTTTATTCAGCAAGGATGCTTTAAACTGATTAAAAGTGACAGCAAAACATTGTTACAAATTTCTCTGTATTTAGTTTATAAATGTTAAAATATGTTACAGGAACTAATTAGAGTTTAATTAGAAAAATATGAGCATTCTATTAAAATAGCTTGTGTTTTTGTTGCATTATTAACGTTAAAAGTATTAACATTTAAAAAAAACTTGTGCACTGTTACTTATTAAACTGTCTGCAATATAAAATAAGTGTAAATGAATAAATGTTTAGGGGTATGAGTGTGAGAGATCCCGGGTTCAAATCCCAGACGAGCCCCCATTTGTCAAAAGAGGGACACCTCTTTTATTTAAAAAAAAAAGATATCGTCACTTAGAGCTTTTTTGCATATTTTTTGTCAACAAAATACCACCATGTGGGCAGCACGGTGGCTCAGGGGTTTGCACTGTTGCCTCACAGCAAGAAGGTCGCTGGTTCGAGTCCAGGCTGGGCCAGTTGGCATTTCTGTGTGGAGTTTGCATATTCTCCCCGTGTTCGCGTGGGTTTCCTCCAGATGCTCCAGTTTCCCCCACAAGTCCAAATACATGCATTATAGGTGAATTGAATAAACTAAATTGTCTGTAGTGTATGTCTTTGAATGTGAGAGTGTATGGGAGTTTGTCAATACTGGGTTTGCATCTGGAAGGGCATCTGCTGCATAGAACATATGCTGGATAAGTTGGTGGTTCATTCTGCTGTGGCGACCCTTGATAAATAAAGGGACTAAGCTGAAGGAAAATGGATGAATAAATCAATGAACGAATGAATGAATGTATGAATGATAAAATAAGTGTAAATGTATGTGTTTAGGGGTATGATTTTCACTTGGGGTGCGAGAGATCACTGGTTCAAATCCCGGACGAGCTCCCCATTTGTCAGAGGGCCATAACAAAAAGCGGGACACCTGAGAAAGCCAAAATTAAAGAACAAGATTTGTTAAAGAAACAGTTTTAAACAAATTAATGAAACAATATGAAAATGTAGCTGTCAGGATTCAGCGGTGTTTATGATTCATGTGTATACAGATATCTAATGTAGTGTAGCAATGTTGGATATACAAAAATGATTAAATATAACAAAACATAAAAAGAGTCCAGTCCAATGCAGCAGTCCACTTTAAAATGACAGTCATATGATTTTTATAGGGTCCAGGGAGGTCAGTGTTGTTTCAGAGGTGTTTCCCATAGCAATTAGATTTGAAGGTGGAGTCAACCCTCAATCTCGACCAGAGGAATTCTGCTAACTCATAGGATGTCACAGTGAATAATGCAGTTTTTTTCTCAAATGGAAAGAATATACAACAAAACTAAAAACATGTTACAAATTGAATACTTTCTTATAGTCAGTGAAGAAACTGCCTAACTGAAAAGTTGGTCATCTAGAGTATTTCTACCTGCAATTTCAGATCTAATGGATATTCAAACATTGTTTAGTAGGAAACGATGGATGTTTTTTATACACAGGATAGGTCAGGATTTATGGCCTGGATTTCTTCGCCATCTGGTGGCGAATTGCAAAATGTGCGGCATCACAGAGCAGCATGTGTTTGTTGATGTTTGCAGGATCACAGAGCTCTTGGGTTTTGATCCAGAGGATGTGTTACAGCATTCTGTGTATGAATACTATCATGCGTTGGATTCAGACCACATGACCAAAACACACCACAGCCGTAAGATCAGATAAATGAAAGTTTACTTATGCAAATCTAAATTAAGATATTTCATAATACTTTATTGGTCTCTCTCTGCAGTTTTTGTGAAGGGGCAAGTGTGTACCGGACAGTACCGTCTGCTGGCTAAAGCCGGAGGGTTTGTTTGGGCAGAGACTCAGGCCACTGTGATCTATAACAGTAAAAACTCTCAGGCACAGTGTGTGGTTTGTGTCAACTACATCCTCAGGTGGGACTTTATACTCTATGTTTGACCTGAATACTAGTATTTGTGTGTGTTTGTGATGGTATGAATGCACCATTTAATCTATTTGTACTTTCTTATTCTGCAGTGGCATTGAACAACCCAAACAAATCCTGTCGCTTCAGCAAACCAACAGCACAAAAATAAAACAGGAAGAACACCAGGAGGAGGTTGAGGTGACCATGGCAGAGTTGAAAGAGGAGGAAAAGGAGATGGACAAAGAAGATGAGGAGTGTGTGCAGCCTGTAGTGCAACATAACAGCCTGAAGGGGGAGACAGAGGCGCTGACTGTAGCAGATCCTGTTCTCACGCTGGATATCAACATCACTGGTACGAACACTGTTTTTGCTATGTGCAAATTTACACACTAACAGTTTTCCCCTTGCATTACTAAAAGGTTGTTTGCTTTGATGTTATCAGAAACTTTTAGAAATGCTTTAGAATTTTAGCTAGGCCAGTAGCTTGCAATAGTATGTGGAGGCAGACTTGGATTTGTAAACTGAGACTGCATATCTCAGACTTGCAATGTCAGACACAATGCACTCAATTGAGCTAGTGAGGTCACTGTGAGAGGTGGGGTTAGGTGTGCGCATTAAAAGCATTGCGTTCAGCTTGCAACTCAATTCTGCATCCAGACCCCTCTCATAGCTTGTGATTCCACTTTGTACTGTAAAAGGAAAGAGTATGCACATACTGTACAATCTTAAAGTCTATTGTACAATGTCGGTACAGGTTTTACACTTGTAAATTCAGGTTAAGTTTCAGCAAATGCTGAGTTTTTGGGCTCAAGATGGTGGGTTGGTTTTTATTGGGTTTCATTGTCACAGTAACTTACACTACATGGCTAACCTTCTCCACAGCAGGTTTTATTCTGGATTAGAGACTGTAAACCCAAACTGAACCCATTTTTTGCTTCAAATTGAAGCCTTTTCCACTAAAAACACATTTGCTAGTAATTTAATCATAGTTTCAAATAGTCTATTAATATTAAAAACAGCTATTTTATTTAAAATATTAATATAAAAGTAATATTGAAAACACTGAGCTGTTTGTGAGCCTACTTTATAATATCAGTTGATTGATTCGCACTGATACAGGAATTATTCTTTTATGTTTCCTCCTTAAACTTTACCACATCTGGAGTGTTTATTTCTTTCTTGTAAATGCATTTAAATTCATTACATTTCTGATACTGATATTTCTAAATCTTCATCAGAGAAGTCAATTGCTGACTGTTGCGAGAAATGGCTTAAGCTTGGGTTGTGTGATTGGTTTGCTGCATGTGTCACACTTTCAAGTGCATGATCTCCAGAGTTAATCACAAACTCTTAAATCAAGCATTGTGCAACCACTTAACCTTCTTGACCTGGTTGGGTTTGTTTGGTTTTGTCAGCCTGAAACTTAAGCCGTGGTCACACTGCACTTTTCACCCCCATAGACTTCCATTTATACGCATGCGAATGTGATATACCGGAAGTGCAAGCTTGTGCGACAAGTTCAAGCTTGGTGAACTCTGACCTACAAAAACTGCATCACGTGATTGCGTGATACCAATAGATCAAAACATGACCTCTTTGTACAGAAATTCAAAATATGGAGCAATCACTTACTTCTTTAATGTCTAATCATCTTGTTTAATCTTGCCCCCTTTCACAGCAATGTATGACAGAATTTCTCAAGCTCAAACTCTAGTGTGACTGCGGCTTAACTCTGCAACCCAGAGTTTGTTCAATTCATTTTGGCCTCTGTAAGCCACCTCTGTTGTCTTTGTTTTCATGTGCTCAAATCTTTAAGTACATGCCTATAGACTGAAAATGCAGATACATACATATACACAGTAAGCTACTGTTTTGAAAAAATGTATTTGTAGTTTAAATGTATACCAAAATGTAATTTTTGTTTTTTAATTTATATTTATTATTATTAAAAAAAAATTAACTTTGAAATTAGTTTAACGTAGTTTAATAGGTCATCTTTAATCCATATAGGAATGGGAAACCATTGTGAACTGCGGAAATGATATGTGTATTTGAAATTAAGCATTTTTACTTTTAATGAATTCATAATGATGTTGGACCTACAGAAAAAGGTTTGGTTTTGATGAAGCACTTTTAGTCTATACATGTAAACCATTGAATTTGATTTCCATCATATACTACTATTACTCACAGTCAATAAAATAATATCTAAATTTTATAAATCTTTAAATAAAAATATCTAAATATAATAATAATAATAATGCATTTTATTTGAGGTGCCTTTCAATCACTCAAGCTCACAGTATATAAGAAGCAGAATAAATAAAAACCAATAAATAAACCATAAAAAGAAGCAGCAGTTACAAAATGACAGCAATAAAAAAACACAATAATATAAAAAAAACGTAAACGTGTCTAAATATGTGGGAAATGGATTCATGCAAATGGCTCAACATTTTTAACATCCTTATCTTTCCCTCTTGCAGACTCAGCGATCTCTGTCCTGACAGAAATTCCTCTCTACAACGATGTCATGTTGCCCTCTTCAGATGTCCTGCTCCCCCTCTCGCCCCTATCTCCCCCGTGCTCCTCTCTAAATGATGATGAAGCCTCCACAGGCCATCTACAACACGACCAATTCCCTTTCCAACAGTCCTCTGACTCCTCCAGATCACAGGTGGAGTCTCCTTGCAAGTTTAGAGCATTTCTCATGCCTCATGGACATGTAATACTTTGAATAGTTTTTTTCATTCTTTATAAAATGATTGTAAAGTCAATTGTTTGTGGTTTTTCAGGTTGATCTACCGGTGGATTCAGAACTATGTGACCAGCTAAAACCAGATCACGTTGAGAAACACTTTTCCATGGATATAGAGTCCAAGACACAGGTATACGACACAGGTTGTGTAATGAACCTCTTAAGGAGCAGTCTCTAATTTCTATTATGAAAGATGTAGAAGGAACAGCTCACACAAAAAAGTCTCTACAGTGATTTTCCATGACCAGCACAAATAAAATGTACCTTCATGGAAAATTACTTAAAATAGAAAATTTGCAGAGCAATGATAAATTTGACTACACCTTAAAGGTTCTGTGAAGTGCTTTGAAATGTGCATTATTATTCAATGTTTGACCTAATCTCAACCAAAACATGAAGAGAGGGTGGAATATGGTGTAGCTCCTCCCCTTTTTAAAAGAGCATTTTGTTTTATCACAACTCTGCCAGTGAGAGAGGTTGAGCTCTAGTGCATCAAATGAAAAGCATCTTAAAGAGGGCGTGGCATGTCAGAAACTAGAGACCATTTGATTGGTTATGATTTGATGAGGAACTGTAGTGTCACCATTGATCTAAAGTATTTACTGTAGGTGGAAGTGACAAACTACAAGCTTTACATGTTTATATCAGGTTTATATCTTTTAAATGTGAACTTTGTCACTGTTTTAGAGCGCACTAGCTTATAGATATCCTAAAAACTAATAAAACTGATACTGACATCTAAAAAGCTTTATTTTAATTTCATAGGACCTTTAAGGTATACTCTGAGAACATAATTAAATATTTCAATGATTGTAGCAACATATGTTCACAGTATACTGATGTTGGCTAACAGTCATATTATCAGATTGTCTGTCAGAATCTATCAATAATTTTTTTAAAACAATAAATTCATTTTACAAATGTGGTAATTTGATGCTGTCCCCACCTTTGAAATGTGGGCTAGAGAACTTGGAAATATGTTACACTTAGAAGAAGTGAGATTCACACTAGACAAATTGTCAATTTTTAACAACATTTGGGAATCACTCATAATATTTTTACAGATTGACATAACTGATATATTTTCACAAGATTATTGTATGTTAATTAGTTTACTAATTAATTAATTCATTCATTCATTTTCTTGTCGGCTTAGTCCCTTTATTTATCCGGAGTGGCCACAGCGGAATGAACCGCTTTAATGAAACTTTATCCGGCAAATTTTTACGCAGCGGATGCCCTTCCAGACGCAACCCATCTCTGGGAAACATCCACACACACACTCATACACTACGGACAATTTAGCCTACCCAATTCACCTGTACCGCATGTCTTTGGACTGTGGGGGAAACCGGAGCACCCGGAGCGAAGGCAGGGAGAACATGCAAACTCCACACAGAAATGCCAACTAAGCCAAGGTTCGACCCAGCGACCTTCTTGCTGTGAGGCGACAGCACTACCTACTGCGCCACTGCCTCGCATATGTTAATTAATTCAATTATTTAATTTAGTTATTTATTTTATAATTATCGCATCGCAGTGGCGCAGTGGGTAGCACTATTGCTTCACAGCAAGAAGGTTGCTGGTTCGAGCCTCGGCTGGGTCAGTTGGCATTGCTGTGTGGAGTATGCATGTTCTCCCCGCTTTCACGTGGGTTTCCTCTGGGTGCTCCGGTTTCCCCCACAAGTCCAAAGACATGCGGTACAGGTGAATTGGGTAGGCTAAATTGTACGTAGTGTATGTGTGTGAATGAATGTGTATGAATGTTTCCCAGTGATGGGTTGCAGCTGGAAGGGCATCCGCTGCGTAAAACATATGTTGGATAAGTTGGTGGTTCATTCCGCTGTGGCGACCATAGAATATTAAAGGGACTAAGTCAAAAAGAAAATGAATGAATAAATGAAATTGAAATTATATTATTATTTTATATTGTCTTCAATTTTTGCTTTCAATTTTTAAATTTGTCCGAGCCAGTTCCATATTGTGATTGTAAATTTTATTCATGTATGCCCTACTTTATTTTTTATAAACTTTCCACAAATATTTTGATCAATGTTAAATGGATGGGGTAAGAGGTAAGGTTTTGAGTTCCGTTTTGTAGTAAACTAAATTCACTGTGATAGAGTACTTCCAAGAGAATAAAAAAAAAAAAAAAAAAAGCCCTCAGGGGTAACTCAAATATTTGGTCGGTGCTCTTTGGGTAAGGGATTCATCAAAACAACAACAGGAATCATTCCAAAGCAAAGCAAGAAAATTTAAAAAGCCTCTATTCACATGGCTAAATCCTAAAAAAATCTAAGTGTTTCAGCATGGAACTGCCTTCGTCAGGGTAATGTCTGTCTTTGATATGTGGTCCATCTATTTCTTGTTGAGATTTAGGCGGTACTGTATGCATGTAGGTTTTTGCAATGAAAATGAAATAAAGAATTTTAAAAGGACAATAAACTGAAAGTGAAGCTAGAAGTACTTAAAAAATCCAAAATGCAATCACAAGAAAATTGAACTTCTTTAATTAAGAACAAAAAACAACAGACAATTAATCAACATTTAGTACATTGCAGTTTCTGTTTTGTTGCCTTGGTATTAAATTCTAGAGAGCTAAAGTGTTTTTAAATACACTTACTAAAGTTATGAGAGCAATTTATTTCCCTCTCTGTGTCTTTTGACCAGTGAAATCAATCTTTCAGTATTAATTCTTTTTTGTAAAGTCATACTGCTAATGCCAATTTGAATTTTCCCCCTCTTACTAGTGGCAAATAAAACCACAAAAATGACTTTTGATGTAGATTCCATTCTTTACCACAGACATTTACTCATGACTTCTACTTCTGAGAAGCATGAAAATGTGAAAAGGCTCCATTGTTCAGCCTCATTTCTTTATTTTAAGTTTGCATTTGATTGAATTAATCATTAGCTGTTCTTCAAAGCCACTAGTTTTGTCACAAATCCAGTGGAAACCCTGAACCAACACAACATAAAAAATATAGCGCAGCCTTACATGCTCATTTAGTGCTGATGTTTATGATGGTCATTTTTTAGGGAGTGGGTTTGGATCTGGAGATGTTGGCTCCATACATTCCCATGGATGATGACTTCCAGCTGCGGACTGTTTCTCCAGTCAGGCCCATGTGCTCCAGTCCATGTTCAGGGCTTGATCTGACCCCGTCCAGCAGCACACAAACCAGCCCTGCTCTTTCGGCAGCCACTCCAGATTCGCTATCCTGTGATCCCGTGCAGCAGAAAAACAAAACCACAGTGCAGGACCACAGCAGGTTAGGCTTTTATGTTTTGCTGATCAGATCTGTGGTACAAATACACTATTTACAAAAAAACACAGTTGTTTTGCCTTCCTCGTTCACTCTCTATTTTCTGTTTATTTTTTCTCTAGAGAAATTATTCAAGACAGTGATATTTCTTATAAATGTCAGACCAACCCGAAGCTACTCAAGAGGAAACTCGAGACCATACCGCTGTCTGAAGCAATAAGACTGGTATGTGTGAGCAGGAGTGTGTACTATTGTGCATCTTTCTGGTGTTTGATTATTATCAAGCTTTTGTGAATTACTTTTAAAAGCAAGCATCTTGTAACCCTTCACAGTATTATTATGCTTCTTTGTATTCTGTGCTGATCAGTTTCTTGGCAGACTTGAAGCCCTATAATATGTGTTTGGCACGATTTGTTGCTATTTTCAGACCAGCGCAACTCTAATTTTCATGTTTTGCACTACGTTGTCTAATAGCAAATCCATTTGCGCCACTTTGTGGACTCATGGGTGTGCTAGTCTGAAATAGAGGTGTGTTAAGGTGCATTTTTGGCACGTTGCTATTTTGAGGAACTAAAATAGACTGCGCCATTGACCAACTAAAAGCTGCTCTAAAGTTCAGCACACAGTGCGTTAGTTATGCACCTATGCAAGTCCAAATACTTACACATTGCTTAATACACACAGGATGTACAGTAATAGACAAATATCTTTACATATGAAAAATAAAGGATTAAAATCTTACAAAAATTATTATTTTCTAAATAAATATATAAACCACTAACTCCACATCACATTGGGGGGGCTTTTTTTTAGTTTATTCAAGACAATTTGCATTTGTATAATGTTATTATTACTAGCAGTGTTCATTATTACATGCATATTTATATTTGCTTTAACAAAAACAAGTCTAAAAATGTCCATCTGTCGAGTTTTGGAGATCTCTGCATCATCATATGGGGCATAAGAATAAGACGTGTGTTTGGATATAACTTTTTTGACCACACTCCGTTATTATTGTTCATTTTGGAAATTAGAACTGAATTTCGAAATAGTTTTGAAACAAATCTTGGTGCTTAACAAACACAATTAAGTGAATACAACACCGTTTTCTTATTCACAAAAGTAAAGTGGTAATGTAAAGAGTAAAAGTAAACTAAAGAGAAAGTAAAGAGGCTGAATGGAGGAGGCTCGTTCTTTATCTTTATGTTGCAGATAGTTTGTTTCACTGTTTTTTTACATGTGAAGCATTCAGTTTTTCTACTTAAAAAAGTTCACCATGTAAATAGCAAATGTGCCATGGCGGGACACAAATGAATGAGAGATGGGACTCTGATTGGTTTAATGCATGTTATGTTTAAAACACCCCATAACTCATTAAGACAATATACTCCACCCTGTTAGACGTATTTTTCACCCCTAATACCATGGGCTCTATTTTAATGATCTAGGTGCAAAGTCTAAAGCGCATGGCGCAAAAGCAATAAAAGCTTGTCTGAATCCACTTTTGCTATTATAATAAAATGATTAATGTGTGTGTTTTTTTATTGAAAATTTGCTAAATATGTATAGCAACTATTGTTCAAAAACAACATGAACTGTGAAACTGGTTTAAAATGAATTTGTTATTGGCTTCTTGTCTAAAATGGATAGTTCACCCAAAATGTTGAATTTGCTGTCAGTATTAAACACAATTATTAGCTGCATAAAATGCAAGGCAATAGCTACTGGCACAAGAAAATTAATAACTGTGTTTTATGATGATACATTCAAAAAGGGGATATTGCTGTAAATAATGTTCATTTTCTTGCACAGATACTTTATAAGACTTTAGTATGAATAAAATTTTTTCCTGTTTTCGTTTTTTGACTGTCCAAATCTGGTAGTCATTGGTTTGCATTTTATGAATCACCAAAAGTTTAAGATAAAAAAAATCTTCTAACATGTTCTGTTGAAGAGAAAAAAGTAGCCTAAAACCTGGATGTCCTGATGTTAAGTAAATTATCAGCATTTTATTTTTTTTGATGAACTATCCCTTCAAGAAGTTGAGAAATACACCGATTAATGTGCATTCAGCTGAGCATTATAGCATATTAAAAAATATAATGTGTTTAAACCAAACATTTATATAGGCCTACCATTCACTGTAAATGTATAGTATTTATAAATGTCTCTGTGAAGGGTAGTAAAATTGTTACAACTTGTGCAAAAAGTGTTTATTATTGACTGTTAATGTGTGCTTTCTCCCAGGGGTCTGTGCTGCAGGTTGTTACCGATTTTCCAGAGAAAAAGGTCCGCAAAACAGATGCTCCATCATCAGAAGGAATTCGTCATGCTACGATACTGTTGCTGCCATCCAGTACGTCACCCTCAGTCTGTTGAATCCTTGCGAATGTTGTGAGGCCAGTTGTTTTCCATTTAAACAGTAAGTAACTGCTCTTTTTCAGATGTTGCAAGTCGGTTATTGAGCAGATCGTCAGAGGGCGGAGCCATAGCTATGCCCCTCCCCCAAATCACCCATCACGACTGTGAGGTAAATGCACCTGTGATTGGACGACAGCACCTGCTGCAGGGGGAGGAGCTTCTTTGTGCCTTGGATTTAGTTATTTAAAAAAAGCCATACTCATGTTAATTTAACAATTATCAGTGGCATTATGGATGGACTTCCATTCTAAAGAAACAGGGGTGAGCAATCAGAACAGCTGGGTTGCTTCTGCTTCTCATAAGCAGTTGGTAAATACATGCTGGACATTAAAGAAACAATAATTAATGACAAGGGAAATGTAAAACAGAATTCGCAGAGCAATTATGAGCTGTGCTCTCGCAGGTTAGACATACGCACAGAGCAGAGAATATATATATATTCTATTCTATATAAGATTGTATTGTGTGACAGCCGCAAAGAATTTTATTGCACAAATGATATAAATTTACCTTCAGCTTTATGGAAAATGTTATTTTATTAGCTCTGCTGTTTTTACAATTACGTTCAAGGATGTCTAAATGTTTTCTCTGTTCAGGTCCAATGTGAATATGTGGATATATTTGCGTGTAAATGTTGTGAAATGTCAAAATTGCGTTTATTTTATTTTGTGAAATATATTGTACGGCATTTGAGAGTAGGCAGCATATTGGTAGAGCGACCTGCATTACTACCTACTACCTAACTACCTTAATGATAAAGTGTTCTCTCACCGTTGTTGTTATTATTATTGTAGAGACTTCTATTTAATTAAATCTCTGACTATATCTAGGGCATTATGTACTATGTTCTATTGAACTCTTGTGTTCCTGTATTTTGAGTTTCCTGTGTTACATGAACAGTGGCGTATAGGAAGCAAGATGTGGTGTATTCGCTGGTGTGTGAGTTATGCCACTGTGTGTTGCTCATGTTCTTCCGTGTCGTGTCATTGTCTTCAGGAAATTGTAATGTCTACGACAAATAAACGTTTTTACAACAACATTAGGCTGTTAAAATATCAGTCCTTTTCATTTAAAGCAACCGTATACACTACTATTTACTACAAAAAATCCCCAGTCAGCTGTTGGTGGTATTAGGTTACATAAAATTACATAAAATCACAGAGCAGGGTCACGCATGATGATGTGCAGTGTGCAGAAGTCACCAAGTTTCCGCAGAATTAATAGCTACAGATTGCCGAACTTTGGTAGTCTTCAGATTAGCTGAAGAAAAGTGCATAGAGAGCTTCATGAATTTCATAGCTAAGAAACTACTTACAAGCCTTTCATGGCTTCAAAACTTCAAATGCAGGTGTGTAGGAGAGCATTAATTAATTATTTCATTCATTAATTCAATAATTAATTCATTTATTTTCTTTTTGGCTTAGTCCCTTTATTAATTTGGGGTCGCCACAGCAGAATGAACCGCCAATTTATTTAGCATATGTTTTACGCAACAGATGTCCTTCAGCTGCAATCCATGTCTGTGAAACATCCATACACACTCATTCCCTCACTGGCCTTCCCAAAAAGACAGTCAGACAGTTGCAGCTGCCAGGATTCTAGAAAATCAGAGTCCATCATACCTGTCCTCAGGTCTTTACACTGGCTCCCACTTACATTCAGAATAGATTTTAAAGTATTATTACTTGTCCATAAATCACTAAATGGCCTAGGACCTCAACACATTACAGATATCCTCACTGAATACAAACCCAACAGATCACTCAGATCTTTAGGATCAAATAAATTAGAAATTCCAAGAGTTCAGTCAAAGCATGGTAAATCTGCCTTCCGCTGCTATGCCCCCCGTTGTTGGAATCAGCTTCTAGAAATTATCAGATGTGCTCCAACATTAGGCACATTTAAATTAAGACTAAAAAGACATATCTGTTTAGCTGTGCCTGACAGATGGCACTATTATGCCTTTCTTTTCTTTTTCATTCTTTTAAAACAGGTTTTAACACATTTTATCTGTTTTAATCATTTTTATTATTGGTTTATATTTTCTTATACTTGTCTCTTTTAATCCATGTCTTTGTAAAGCACATTGAATTACCACTGTGTATAAAATGTGCTATATAAATAAACTTGCATTGTCAAAGTTTCAACTTTAGCATACAAAAACATTTTGGACAATTCCAAGCTCCCAATTTCTGGGAAAAGTTTGCTGATGGTCGCATCTGTTCCAACATGAATGAGCACTATTGCGTAATGTTGACTAGCCTACACAAAGTCCATACCTCAACCCAATAGAACATTTTTGGGATAAATTAGAGCAGAGATTGCAGGTCAGGCCTTTTTGTTCAACATTAGTGCCTGACATCACAAATGAACTTCTGGAACAAATAAATCCTGTTTTTAAACCTTGTGAAAAAGTCAGTGTGAAATAGTGTAGAAATTTAATGAATGGACTTACAGCATTAGGTGTCAGCCTATCACACTAATCACAGAACTACACTTGAGTTCCTGAGAGCCCCCCATTCTTTCATGAATGTTTTTTTTTTAAAAGCAGAATCTACATCCTTTATTTTAAATACCTGTGGCTGTGGAAGTGGAACATCTGGTCAAAGATTTGGAGGAGTGTGCTAGAACTTTTGGCAATAGACTGCACAGTATTTTTAACGCATCCAGGTTTAAAGCAGATATGCTTTTCAATATTAAAGTCTTCATATTTTACTATATTTTAACTTGCATGTACAAGAAACCTTTTCAACACATGCAAACTCTTAAAAAAGTTTAGGATAAAACCAAATCAGTTTAAACAAATGTAATTTCACCTATTATTATTGTTGGTCTTTTCCATTCTCTACACCAGGGGTTCCCAAACTTTTCAGCCCGCGACCCCCAAAATAACAATGCTAGTGACTCGCGACCCCCAATATCCTCTGAGGTGGTTATAAATACAGAAACCTTGCATGCAATGACGCAGACACACCAATTAAATTTGTGTCAGTGCTTTAAATGTTCCAGAAAGTATAACCTGATGTTATAAAATCAAATGCATCTGACGCTATTGCTGCCTTTAATATAATGTAATTACCCCAGGGGTTGCAATCCAATAGAACTAGTAACTATAAGCTACTATAGTAACTATATAGTATATAGTAACTATAAACAACTATTTTTATTTTCAGTATAGTTATGGATAAAATATATTAATTCTTATGGTTTTATAACAATAAATAGATTTTTGGAAATCACCAGGCGACCCCCCCTTCATTGCCCCGCGACCCCTCGGGGGGTCCCGACCCCCACTTTGAGAACCACTGCTCTACACCACTAAACCTAACTCTACTGTGTATAAACAGCACATTCAGTTCAAATGAGTCAGGAGTGTCTGGAAATATGTGTGTGTACTGTATGTGTTCATCAAACAACACAGAACAAGAACTGTATTCAATTACCGGTGGTCTTGCCAAAGGACTTACTTCATTGCTCAGGACGCTGCATGGGCTCTTTATGTGCCGTGCAAGACACACAAACGCACACACACACACACACTCAACCTCAGAAGCTCCCCTCCACATTTCTGTGGGAAAACACTTACTCGTGGTCAATGGCTTTATTCCTTGGTAACTTTATACACACCATTTTGTATCTGTGTCTGTCATCCAGTGTGAGTGAATGACTCTCATTGAATTAGTAGGGGAAATCCCATGATTCTGCTTTTGTTGCTATGTAGAGGGCTCTACTCGCTCTCTATGGGATGTTACACTGATACAGATTATGCAACAATATGTGACATCAAACTTTGCTGAACATTGTAAAATCACGTGAGCAATTTCCCGCTAATTCCATTCCAACCCCTCTTGAATAAATGATAATTTTATCAAAGTTTATGTGGGTATTGTAAAGACATATAATACATTTTAGATTGATTATTGTGCACCATCTCTCATAACCAGATTTACTGTTACATAGTGCTCTGTTTAATAGCTAGCTTAATGAAACTGGTCCCACATCAGTGCTACAACACAATGTCTGTTGAGAGGTTCAATGTAAAAAATACAGCAAACACTTACAGTCTCACAAACGGGTTTCCTGCAGTTGATGACTGCACATGGTATATCGATCAACTGCTAAGCGAAAGCATGTGTAATGGACTGAAGATGTCTATCTCTTCCACAGCTTTTAACAGAGCTCCATGCGGACAGCCAGCAGGCCTGTTTTCACTTACGTCTGTTAAACACACTTACTCACACATCACTCTTTCTCCATGGGCACATATATGCGCTCAATCATTTACACTCACGTACATGCGCACACGACTATTTGTCCTCAGAAGACCTGTTATAAAATCCTCAACATGTGAAAGCTTTACTGTTTTCTATGGACACACACCAGTAGAGAAACCTCATATATCCGCCTGGCCACACACAAACACGGTGAAGTTTTGATTCGTAATAAATCAGCTCTTTTTCTTTGTACATAACAACATCATTCATCCCTTTGTGCCTAACCTAATATTCCTCAGAGCAAACGTTTATTGCTTAGGGGTTGGGCTTTCATTGTGGATATATAATTGAATTCTCTCAAAATACAATATAAATTTACCATAATATCATAGGCATAAAAGAGAACATTAGGCTTTTGACAATTGTGTTATATACTATTTATTTGTTTGTCTGTTTTTATTTTTTTGTTTATTATTTTTAATATCTGATCTTTGCATGTTTGACTTTTCTTTTTTGCAGTATTCCTCCTGAACAGGAGACCATATAATCAGATTCCAGATTTTCAATTAATTGTCTCTCACCAAATATTAAAAAATCCCATCCAAGCAAATGATGACTTGTGAAGACGAGTTTTTGAAAAATGTGAACAGAGCAAAGCATGTTACAATTTTGAGACTGAATTAATTTTTAATATTTTTTATTTTCATATGTTATAAATTTAGATTTTAGGATAAGTAATGATTATTTATACACTGTAAAATCCAAAAGTTAAGGTAACTCAAACCATTTGAGGAAACCGATTGCTACAAACCATTTGAATTCATAAACTAATTCTAATGAGCACTGCAACTTAATTCATTTGAGTTTAAGTAATGAGGTATTTAATTAGTTTGTTACCTTCAACACTGAGTTCAAAACTCTTTTCAAATGAGAAAAATAACCTTTCAGTAAATTTTGAGTTCACTACACTCATTTCATTTGATAAAGTTGACTGTTGGGTTTACCAGTGTATCATTGGCACACATGCGTTCCCCGTTTTAATCACTCTAAACTTTAAAGCCCCTGAGGATTTTTTTATTTTTACTAATTTACTTTTATTTAACAACTATAATTGTCAAATAATGATGTCAATGCTAATCATAACTAACTAAAACTACAGATCTGTATATTCATGCATTATCATGCTGACACTAGTCTATTAGCTTATTATTATAGTGCAGTGAGAGAGCCTAACTACCAAGCCACCAACCACCAACTTTAATTCCTGCTAGGACTGGGAATCAAACCTGCAACCTTTGGATTACAAGTCCACATGGCCTCGTATAACTATATAAATCTTCCATTGTGTCATGAAAATCCTGAAAAAAATTATATTGTATTCATTCGCAACTATTATGAAACAGAATGATGTCAGTCTTGTGGTTAAGGAGAGATTGTGTATCTGTGTTTTATGTTCTGAAGGGTAATCGTATTTTAACACGTGGCATTTAGATTTTCTTACTTGGCCAGAATGTTTTGATTTATCAGATGCTCATGAGTTAAACTCATAAAGGCTCTTTGTCAATTATAATGTAAATTATCATGAGCTTGTCAGTCCCACTGATAGCAGTTTGCCTTGAATTACTGAAAGGAAAGGCTGACAGAGGTGAATGCTCTAAACTGGTGTTTATAACTAATAGATTTGATATTTGCTTACATAAAAGACAGTATAACACATAATAAATTAAAGGACGACGTTACACAAAACGTCACATTTGGTAAATTCTGAAGATCTAAATTGTTAAATTTAAGGAAAGGTGTTGTTTTGTTTACAACACAAGCTAGTGTCAATCCTGTAGGCCACTTGTAATGTTTTCTCTATCTGCTGTCATGAAGTTCATCTCTTCAAACCAAAAGAAAGAAATGCAAAAAACAAATAATGATGTTTATTAACATATTCACACTCAAGACTCTCAGCAACAAGTACAAAATTTCAGAATCTTCTGCAACCAGTAATGCAAGTAGTAAATTGTGTAAATGTAAATCTGTTCTGCTAAGTTATCACAAAAAGAAACACGAAACCAAACATAAACTTTGCATTTGGTACTGTACTCCTCATGGTCAAATTACACCCATTGCTTTTGGTTATAAAATCTAAATAGACAAAGCTGTCTTTTTTTGTTCACTAGACCCTCAACAGTGATGTTTTCAAACTTTAACTTAGTTAAGCCAAACCCTGTACAATCATAGTCCCTGGTGTATGTGACAGAAAACCTGTAACATATACTCTACTGTGTTGTGTAGTCCTATCTATGAAATTAAAATATAATCGCACATGTACATTAATCAAATTTTAAGGATGCACTTACGGTACAATACCAAAGAAATTACAGGGTAATATAAGGAAACTGCAAGGTTTAAGGTTAGGTTTAGGGGTGGCTGGTCTTAGATTGGTAAAGTAGATTTTGAAAGAACATAATGGGGAGTAGCTGTTGAAGGAAATAAGGGAGCTTGTATATAAGGAAATAAGGGGGGAAAATACAGCCGCTGTGGTTCCCAGAACTTTGCCATAAATATGAGAAATATTAAACACCATCATGATAAAACACAACACTAAAGTAATGCAATCATTCACCCAAAACATCAGATGTACCATATACAGTACATTAAAAACTCTGTGTCCATAATTTATAGGAAATAACTAAGAAAAAAATGTGATTCAATAAAAAAAAATAATGTTATGCTGGCAAATCAGGGATTGTTTTCTCTGTAAACTATACTAAACTTTTTTCATTATTCACAAACTAATGTTATAATATTACTGCTGTACTGAATACAAAGAAAGAGCTGTTACAGTTATTCATGTATCAAGTAAAATGACCTACTATTCCCCCTGCAGCATACATTGTAGCTTCTAAAACAGTGTTGAAGGATACATTGAGACTCCTTCATGATCGTGTAGCAGAACACACTCTTCTTCATTTTTTTCACCTGAAGTGAATATGACTGTTTCATTATCTCCATGTAATACAAATCTATAGGAATAACTTGGAGCTGGGTTGGTAAGATAGTGTTTTAGGAGATGGTTTAGACATGCTATCAAACCATGACAGGTGGGCTTCTCTTTCAGCAGCCAGGTTTTTTTGTTCAGTAAACCCTCAGCAGTGAGGTTCTCAAGCTTCAGCTGACACTTAGTTTCAACAGTTGGACCTGGACCATCAAATTTGGAAATGTAGGTGACCGAGAACCTGTTGCACATGATATGTAGTCTTCTCAAACCACCTTTAGGAACAGCTTCTTTAGCCTGTGTGAAACAGGACTTGGTCTCATCCTGACAGGTGTGGTTGCAAAAGTGACTGAAATCAATAGAATACACTGAGATGTTCTCAGCATATGTGCTGACACGTACATTGACATAGGTTCGGTTGTTTTCTGATGCTACGGTAAAAACGTAATCTCTACTCTTACCCATTTGTACACATGAGTAATTTCCTTTCACCAACAATTTTAAGTCGTTTCTTAGAGGATGATCCCTGAGAAATCTCTCCGCAAAGTCCAAGTTGGAGAAAAGGGTGTTGTCCATAAATTTCTTTTTCTTCAGTTCATACATCACAGACATGATGTTTTCTGTGAAAGGTTGAAGATCGGGGAAACATCTGGGAAAGTAGCAAACAAATACATGTTATAGAGTTGTGCATTTAATGAAGGTTAAACTTCCTCCTGCAGATTGTAATCTATATAGTTACAACAAATACTACTTACAACGAGGAATCCATTGAGAGCGAGAAGGGGTTTAGTAGGCCGTCAACACTGTCAACATACAACAGTTATTTATAAGGAATAATATACAGAGATTATCTCAAAAACAAGCAGACATCTAAATTGGAGTCCGGATGTTTTACCATGAAGTTCTCATTCATCACACTTTTGGAATAGATTTTATGAAAAGGGACGTGCAAACAAATTTCATAGTTGTATTTTATAGTTGTGACAATTTGTGTAAACATATCCATTTCAGTTCAGAAACAAGTATAATCTTGCTGTAAATGTTTTTTTGTTTGTGTGTGTTATTGGCAACACTGTCAATGAATTTTGTAAATTACACAGTATTCTGTGTAATCTGAACTGTGTTTTACTGTGGGACAGTTATACAGTGTGTTACTATATTTTACATTATTACTGTATATTTTACAGTAAAGATATACAATACTGTAAATACCTAGAGCACAATAAATGGTGCTGTAAATCTAAATACAGTATTTTGCTGCAATTTTACTGGCAAACTGCTGCCAGTAAGTTACTCTGTAGATTCTACAGGAAATGGTTACCAGTGTAGTTACAGTTGAGTTTATACTATGCAAGACATTACATGTGAGACACTCATCAGACTTAATATAACTCGCTAAAATGCTGCATAAAACGTTTTACAGTTTGTGTTATTATAACATTGGTAAATAGACAGCTGCAGAGACCTACCTATATTTTTGACTAGGATTTCCGCAAATGGTGTTCTAGTGTTTCTCTTGTTTTACTTCTTGTAGGATCACAGAAATTTCCCATGTACGTTTCAGAGCTTTTCCTAAATTAATCGTGGTTCTATTTTCCATTTTTTTAAAGGGGAGAAGATACAAAAAATAATAATAATAACAACCACAATAAGAACAAAAAACAGGCAACTCCTGTTTCACTTCCAAGAGAATTAACATAGAGCAGCATTGTTTTATTTTGTTGTATTTTAAGTGAAAAAGTAAAGCAGACTGCAACTGTTTTTCATCTTTGCAGTGATTATAGCACTTTTTGTGTCTGTGAGACAGTGTTACAGTCTGTGGCATGCCAGAAAATATAGGTACAAACAAAAGACTATATATTTTATTTTATCAGATAGAGAAATAAATAATGATTTTAAGTTTTTTTTTTTTTTGCCATAATTCAAGAATGTACAGTTATCTCAAAATAAAATAGACCCATAAATAAGGGGACCGTTAACATTTATAAAACCCTTTCACGTTACAAAAGGTTGTCTATAGGGGTACAGGCTTCTTTATAAAATTAGATTATTAAAGTGCTCTTCCTCTTGTGGTTATTTTGAATGAGACAAGTCATAATTTTCAATTTATTAGTGCTGTCAAACTGCTTTAAAAGACTATGTGATCATTTATATTTTAGCATCCTCTAAATCAGGTGTTCTCAAACTCAGTCCTGGAGGTCCGGAGTCCTGCAGATTTGAGCTCTAACCCCAATCAGACACACATGGGCTAGCCAATCAAGCTAGGCTTTCTAGAAACTTTCTTGAAAGAGTGTCGATGCACGTTGGAGCTAAAATCTGCAGGACGCAGGCCCTCCAGGACCGAGTTTGAGAACCCTGCTAAATAAAGATAGCTCAACTGACTTACCTAGATCTTTGTCCAGAGGTCAAAATGAAGGCACTTTGAAATAAAATAAAAAGTAGGTTTTTAATAATATCAACAGTTTCTTCCAGCAGCTCTCAGACTAAAATAATAACGTTCATGGTAAGTTTCAGTTTCACAGATCTAACTTAAGTTTCGTTTTCCAGGGCGGTGGAGGAGGGGAGAAACAGAAAAAGAGGCCCCTTCCGTTTCACTAGAAAAAAATAAATAAATAAAAGAATGAAAGGAAAAATAAAAAAAGACAGAAAAGAAAAAAGATATATATAAAAAATATAATATATAAAATATATTATAAAAAAAATAAAAATAAAAAATATATAAAAATATATATATTATACGATATAATAAATGTTTAATTTTGGAATTACAGAAAATACTAAAATAAACAACATATGCTAATATTTCTGATTCGATCAAATTAATAATTAGCTGTAGGCCTGTAGAGAATAAACTCTGGGATGAATTGCATGACTTGTAAAACAAATACCTTGTGACCATTAGCATAGACGTTTGAAGATCACACACTATTTCTAAAATTCTAAAGTTATGCCAATTTGAGATGGATAGCCTTTGTGATGTTTTTTGCATAACCATGCAGCCAAAAGTTTAATGGCTATTTTTGTAAAATATGTGAGGTTAATTGTTTATTTTGAATAGTTCATAACAGATGGGCGAAGCAGTGGCGCAGTAGGTAGTGCTGTTACCTCACAGCATGAAGGTCGCTGGGTCGCTGGTTTGAGCCTCGGGTCAGTTGGCGTTTCTGTGTGGAGTTTGCATGTTCTCCCTGTGTTTGCGTGGGTTTCCTCTGGGTGCTCCGGTTTCCCCCACAGTCCAAAGACATGCGGTACAGGTGAATTGGGTAGGCTAAATTGTCCGTAGTGTATGAGTGTGTGTGTGTGTGAATGTGTGTGTTGATGTTCCCAGGGATGGGTTGCGGCTAGAAGGGCATCTGCTGAGTAAAAACTTGCTGGATAAGTTGGCGGTTCATTCCGCTGTGGCGACCCCGGATTAATAAAGGGACTAAGCCGACAAGAAAATGAATGAATGAATGAGTTCATAACAGTAATATAAACATTGTATTTTGAAAATGTGATAATTTCGTTTTTAAAAACAACAGTACATTTTAAGTAGTTTTGAGCATTTTGTCTTATTTTCTTATTAGTAAAACAGGCAACGGCAGTAGGTAGTGCTGTCGCCTCACAACAAGGAAGCTGCTGGTTCGAGCCTCAGCTTGGTCAGTTGACGTTTCTGTGTGGAGTTTGCATGTTCTCCCTGCATTCACGTGGGTTTCCTCCAGGTGCTCCGATTTCCCCCACAGTGCAAAGATGTGGTACAGGAGAATTGTGTAGGCTAAAATTGTGCGTAGTGTATGTGTGTATGGATGTTTCACAGAGATGGGTTGCGGCTGGAAGGGCATCTGCTGTGTAAAACGTGTGCGGGATAAGTTGGTGGTTCATTCCGCTGTGGCGACCCCAAATTTATAAAGGGACTAAGCCGAATAGAAAATTAATGAATGACTATAGTAAAACAATAATAACAGTTATAGTTTAAAGCAGAGCATTTCTGGGTAGTTAATATGCTAACTAACTGATCAACCATTACAGGTACAAGAAACAACCCGATGTACCTCTCTCCAGGCTGATTTACTGCTGCACTAGTTAGCTGTGGTTCTTTCTTTTTGTGTAATTTTAACAAACGAAAACTCTCTAAAAGCATTTCAAAATGTTAAGCATATTTGATATCCTCCAGTTTATTATAATCATACTGGCACACACACACAAAACAGACTCTGTGCCTTTTTTTTATCACAATAAAAAAAATTCTACCCCTTAGCCCTTCCCCCTACGTGAAGGGGTAGGGGTGTCCCAATTCTCTAACTTGAAGGCGTATGGCGAAGGGGTAGATACCCATTTGAACGGAGATTTTTCAGGACCACAATCGAAACCAAGGGTTAAAAAAAATCCCAGAATACACCAGCTACAACAGCAGCATGGCTGCACCCAGAAGGAAATGCACAAATCAGTATTTTTTGTCATTATTAAGAATTTTTACAACAAACACGTATGTTTTAATATGTTCATAACCGCGTTTGTGTTTTACAGCCAACCTTTAAAAAAACCCAGCTAAATTTCGCTATCTATAATCCCTAATAATAACTCCTGTATTGTAGTCCCACAACAGTCTATTGGCTGGGAATCAGGTTTTTACAGTGTCTGCTAAAATGTTAATGTTGTTTTTGTGTGTTTACATAGATGAACATGGCCACTGTGTAAATGGACAGTACAGTTACGATATTATTGCCACATTATAACGTTATGATAATATAATATATGCCTTCAGTGATTTCCTGAAGATAAATACCAAAAAATAGCACAACTAGAATTACTACAGCAGTCGTCATCGTCTGATCTCATATGTAGCAAGAGATTGAGATGACATATTATAACTTGTGCAGGTGCTGTCCCATTTCTTAAGGGTGAACTTTTTGATGCCCTTCCCCTTCACACTCTGTTTCAAGGGCCAGGGGGAAGAGGTAGGGATACGAAAATAGAATTGGGATTGGACCTTTGTGTACCATAATTCAGCCAACTAGTCATGTCTTGCATTAACTTGCTTGACCTGCCCAAAAAAGTCATATAGAAAAATCACAACCTTAACATAAGACACAATCATCACATACATACATTTAATCAAGCTAGAATTGCTCTTGTAATTTAAATACCTCATCCTCTAATATAAGAAGTATGGAAGCAGCTGTTTTATAAATCTTAATCATACTCCCAGAGCTCAATATCCGGCACCCGCTGACTGTGAGCTTTGTTGTGGGCATCACTGAAGAAGAAGTTCTGGGTTGGGTGGTTTTCTGCTCTGCCAGTGACAAACTCCAGCATCTCCCCATTACCCTGAAGCACAACACGAGTGTTCTCCTCCTGATAATGATCAGAATGCTGCAACAGGTGCTGAAAACACACCAGCAGGTCTTTCGGCATCTCTCCGCTCTTCTCCAGGTACGTCTTCATCTCTAGGATCTTCTCTAGAGACAGAGTTTTGCCCAGATAGACTCTGCGGCGTGGCTGGATGTGGATGGTGTTTAAAGGCTGATGGGTGCTGTATGTCAGGTGCAGCTCTCCACAAGTGATCTTGAGCTCCATGTGATCCAGAACTGCTGGGTTTATGTCCTCCTTGTTTCTCAGGGCTTTACGGGCCTGCTCCAGGCAGCTTTCCAGTTCATCACGGCAGCGATGTCCATCAAAATGGCTCTCTGTCAGGCTAGAGGTTGTGAGGTGGGTTTCTGGATGGGTCTTTTGGAGGAGTCGTGGTGCATTTGAGCCTAGGTGTACTGTGTAGAACAGGACAGGTGCCCCAGCGGTGATACGCACCAGGTGGCGTTCTCCTTCCAGGGTTAAAGAGACTTCACGTCCCTTGGATGCAGGAAAGGCCTCCAGGGTCAAGGCTGTTCCTCAGGTATGAGTCCAGCAATCCTTCCTGACGGATTTTAGCTTTCACTGATAGAAGACATTACAGATCAAGAGAGGGCACGGAGAAATATCTCCTTATGGGATGAAAAACACAATTGGAATTGCAAGGTTAGTTTTTTTAGGGAATTTACTGTAATATAGAATTATGGGACTCCAAAATCTCCCAATATAATTAGTAACACTGCACATGTATTCTCCTATAATGTTTCAGCACTGTTGTTTGAATAAGAAAATTCACTAATGTGCTGGATTCAGTCAGTCGGTGGTTTTAAAAACTACATACTCCATTTGCATTGAATTGCATGCTACAGGCACTAAATTTTAACTTGAACTTCAAAAGGTTTAACATCCACCTTTTCCCTACATATCATGACATTATCACAAATGATGATATAACTTTAGTTTAACTGTAAACATTAATTGTTTTAAAGTATGAGGTTCGTTTTTCTTCTCAATGTTCAACCATCCAATGTTAAAAGAACTTACTGGAATTAACAAACCATTTTTAATAAACTATACAGCATGGACACATTTTTTTTTTGTCTTAAAACTTTATTAAATAAATTTCACCTTCCCTTTATGATTATTATTATTATTTTTTTTTATCTTAGGCCAGGGGTCACCAATTCCTGTCCTGGAGGGCCGGTGTCCCTGCAGGGTTTAGCTCCAGTTTGCTTTAACACACCTGCCTGGATGTTTCAAGTATACCTAGTAAGGCCTTGATTAGCTTGTTCAGGTGTGTTTGATTAGGGTTGGAGCTAAAATATGTAGAACACAGGCCCTCCAGGAACAAGTTTGGTGACCCCTGTCTTAGGCGAATCGTTAAGTTCTTTATACACTGTAAAACCCAAAAGGTTAAGGTAACTCAACCATTTGAGGAAACAGATTGCAACAAATCATTTAAGTCCAAAATCTAATCCTAATGAGTACGGTGAACACAATCCATTTGAGTAAACGAAGCAATATGAGCACAGTAAAACCCAATAAATAAAGAGAACTCAAACCAACTGAGTACTGTAAAACCCAATAAGGCAACTCAAACCGTTTGAGGAAACCAATTGCAACAAACAATTTAAGTTAAAAAATGCTCTATATGATTACTGTGAACTTAATTTAAGTTGAAGTAATAGGGATAAACTAGTATGCATTTTTACTAAATGAGTTTGTCATTTATTTGCATCAAGTTTACTGTTTTCCTCTTTCTAATTAAACATGTTCCTTGTATTTTAAATTTATTTAAACTTATGTAGAACATTAAAAGGGAATAATGTATATATACTTCCTTCCAATATTTTTTTCATCAATTACTTTATCTATATTTAATCTCAGTAAATATATTGTATATTAAGTACTGACCAGGGTTTTATTTCTTTTTTATTTGATGATTGAATAAATTGATATTGTCATGTTGTATATATATATTGTCATATATATATTCAGTGGTGTGCACAGTTGTATCTGAAAGTGTTAATCAAACAATCTTGCTGCATCAAGTGCAGATGATGATCATTATGATGTTAAGAGTTCATTAGGGAGCATTTAATATTTGGTTTTCCTGAATTGATTTCTCATTTAGATGTATGACCTCTCTATCTAAAAGAGATGACTTGTGATCTAATGACATACAGAATTCAGAGAAATGTCACAAGGAGCCTGTATAGCAAAACAAAATATGCTGGCCCAGTTAGTAAACATAAATAGAGGTGAACTGGGTCAAAATGCAAAACATCAACAAAAGCTCTGCTGGATCCCTGCTGTT